TGTCTATGGGTTGGTACACTCAATATTGTAGAGAGGTCAAATTTACTCCACATTGATCAGTGGATTCAGTGCAAGCCAATCAAATTTTTGCCAGGTTCTTTTTTTAATTTAATAAGATGATTCTACAGAGCTGTGCACCACCTCTGTTAATCCAGATAATGGTAGCTGAAGCAACCTCCCCACGTTTAATCATGTAAATCCTTATTGATAAGAATAATCTGTGTGTCACTGGAACCTCCCTGCCTAAGGGCTATCCTATGGGTGGATCCCGAACCAAATAAAAGCTTGGTGAGGCCTGAAAAAAAAAAGATTCTAAAATGTATAGGAGATTTGCTCGGTCCTATACAGCAAAAAGGTTTGTTGTTTTTTAATAATAATGCTTATTATGGGCAAGGCTCCTAGTTTAAATTCTTTAAAGAAGAGGTAAGTTTCTCATGAACCCTCAGGGGCTTGATTGTCCCAGTTTTAATGGTTCATAAACAAAAGAAAAGGTTTTTATTTAACTTCCAAGTAATGAGGGATATGCAGAGAAAACCATGCTGAGATGCCATTGTATCCTTACCAGTACACACACACACACACACACAATATCAAGTGTTGATGAGGATGTGGAATAAGAATTCTTACACACTGTTGGTAGATATCTCAGAAAACAGGCATTATTTAATAAGGTTCAAAAGTTATGTACCCTTGCCTGGCTGGTGTGGCTCAGTGGTTGAGTGTTAACTTATGTATCAGAAGGTCACGATTCCATTCCTGGTCAGGGCAAATGCCTGGCTGGGTTTCTGGGCTCGAGCCCCACTGTGGGGCGTGCAGGAGGCAGCTGGTCAATGATTCTCTGTCATCATTGATATTTCTATCTGTCTTTCTCCCTCTCCCTTCCTCTCTGAAGTCAATAAAAAAATTTTTTTTAAAAAGGTATGTACCCTTTGACCCAGTAATTCCACTCTCAGAAATATACTTCAGAGAAGTGTGCACTGGGATTCATGTAAAAGAATGTCCAGTACGGCATTGTTCATGATAACTAAAACAGAAGATTAAATGTTCATCTAAAAATAGAATGAACAAATAATTTGAGGCATATCTACTCCCAGGAAAACTTTGAGTAATAAGAACAATCTACAGGGACATACAACAGCATGAGTGGATCACATAAACACATTGTTGAGGGAAAGACAACGCAAAAGCCTATAGACAATATGGTTCCATTTTCATGATGTTCTAAAATAAAATTATACATAAAATTTGGGATGCAAACATAGGTTTGCAGGACAAATAGCTAATTACTGAATACCTGCTCCTTATGTTCCATGAATGACCTTCCTCCCCTCTGAAGCCCCTGGTCCCTGACCTCATCCTTAGCTCATGTTTTTTATTTCTCATTTTCCCTTTCTGTTTCTGAAGCTCTCCTGTATGTGGAATTCCTACATATATCACATAAGGCAAATCTTCCCCTTAGTCCTTTTATCAAGGTCATTAAAAAAGCAAGGAAACAACCCGTCTTGGTGGTTCAGTGGTTGAGTGTTAACCTAAGAACCAGGATGTCACAGTTCAATTCCTGGTTAGGGCATATGCCCGGGTTTGAAGCTCGATCCTTGTGTGGGGCATGCAGGAGGCAGCCAGTCAATGATTCTCATCGTTGATATTTCTACTTCTGTCTCTCTGTCTCCTTTCCTCTCTGAAATACAAATATATATATATTTAAAAGCAAGGAAACAATTGCAATATTTCAAATAGTGATTACCTGTAGGAGAGGGAAGGTTTTGAGATCAGGAAGGAACACATGGCCTTGGAATAGGGGTTGGAGGGACTTTAGGAGATTTGCTTTATTTTTTGTTTTGGGTCCTGATTTCTTGAGTGTTTGCTTTGTAAGTGTTTTTTAAACTATAAGTTCATTTAATGTGCTGTACATCTGTTATATTTTCCATTAAACAATAGTTTAACCTTAAAGCCATATTGTGACATCATCATACACCCATCATATTGGAAAAAATTAAAGTCTGACAGTACCGATATTGGCAAAGACATGCAGCATCATAAGAGTTCTTCACCGCTAGTGAGAATGTAGGCTAGGATAAGCACTTTGGAAGACTGCTCAAATTCTGTTGTAAAGTAGATTCCTGTGAGAAGTGAAAAAATGGGAAACAGGGTTTTCTCTGTTTTTAGAGAGGCCTTTTTTGGGGGGGGAGGAGGGATATAATTCAGAGCTTCATCTTGAATGAAACAGGCTAATGTTAGTTTTACCCTCCTGTGCATAAATCCCTAGAAGCAGTGAAGTTATTTATTAGCTAGACAAGTTGGAGCAGCGGTTCTCAACCTATGGGTCGCGACCCCTGAAAATACATCCTGCATATCAGATATTTACATTATGATTCATAACAGTAGCAAAATTACAGTTATGAAGTGGCAACGACAATAATTTTATGGTTGGGTGTCACCACAACATGAAGAACTGTATTACAGGGTTGCGGCATTAGGAAGGTTGAGAACCACTGGTAGGGCAAGTTTCAGAACAGAGACTGGTAAGTTACCAATAGGCCGAAGTCTGGTAAATGGTTCTGGGGTTTCCAAACCTGTGAGAAGGAAGGGAGGGTTCTGACTGCTGGGCTCAGCAAAGCAGGTCAGTGTCAGAAACTTTTGGGCAAACAACATGCAAATGAGTGAGTTGCATGAAAGAGGGATCTTTGAGAATCCTACTTTGTAGCTGGTATATGGCAATGTGATCATTCGATGTGATCAATGTGTGCTTGTGGTGGAAACCGCAGAGACGGCAGGCAGCCCACGGAGCCCTGGCTCTAGGAATATCGGATCCCTCTAGCAGTCAGCAGGCCTCCATCGCCTTTCCACAGTCGCCTTGGCAGCACTGGCTCTGGGCTCTATGCTCTCATGAATGACAGGGTCAATCAAGCAGCTCATCAAAAAGTTAGGCTTTCCCACCCACAGGTCTAGTTACTACATTTATGCAGTACTTTTAACTGGACAGTCAGGACTCTTAATTGGACAGCAGCAAACCTTCCCGTTCACGCTTCAGGTGACTTGTTCTTATTGGTAGGAATGGACAGTCAACATCTTGAAAACACATAGCTTTGGCTCCTTAAATCGACAAAAATTCTAGTTGGGTAATAAGGGGAGGTTTCCTTTCTGAAAGGAGGTGATGCTGTGTGATGAAGCCCACTAGAAAGTAATCTCTTGTAAAATGAACATGCCCCCACACACAGCCCCAGTGTCTATTCTCCACATTTTATTCTAAACAAGGATGCCTGACTGGATGTTCAATCCCATTACTTACATCTGCTTTGCCCAATACAGTAGCCACTTGCCACATGTGGCTATTAAAATCTAATTTTCAATTAATTAAACTTTTTAAAAAAGAAACTATTTTTTTAGTCATACTAGCCACATTTTAAGTGGCTAATAGCTACATGCGACTTGTGACTATCATGTTGGGCAGAACAGAGATAGAACATTTCCATCATTACTGGAAATTCTATTGGACAGTGCTAACCTGAGGATCAAGTTTAAATACCTGAGCCTGTAATTGATAAAGAATAATCAGAGCTACCATTTATAGGGTGCCCTCCATATGCCAAGAACTTTGCTAGAAATAATTACTCTCTAATACCACCACCAATGATCACAAAATCAAATGCTCATAGGGGCAGGCAGGAAGGTAAGTAAAATTGGCTAGGGGCAATACCATGGGAGAGGCAGGGACTGTGGCTAACTAGAGTATATGCCTCATCTAAAAGGGACATAAGTCCTTAGTTTGATCGAATTGTTGTCATTTGAGAATATGGGTCTAGTACTACCAGATCTTCTGAATACAAACAGAATTTGTAAATCCAGATTTTCATATAAAATTTCATTACTTTTCATTGTAAAGCAACAAATATATCATTTCTTTAAGCACCGTACAAACTAAACCTAAACATACCTCAGCCCTGGATTCAGTCCATGATCTGACTCACCCATGTGCAACTGCTATAAATCCATGCAGGGCCAAGAACCATCGTTTAGTTATTAATTTCTGCAACTACATAACTAATACTGCCACTGACTCATCAAACAATAAACACAAACCACAACCACGGTCAATTCTACTTCTGATTGTTCGAGGCCTCTCCCAGAACCATACAGCAGTCCCCGCTAGCCTTCTCTGCCCTGCAGGAGATTTTCTGTGAGCAGTTTGGGAGACAAGATCCCTGCTCCTGAAGGATTTCTATTGTCATCATGCAAGACAGCATAGGTAGTGACTTTTTAAGGAAACTGGGTGTTGAATGTGAACAGCATCTCGAAATCAACCTTGTCCAACCTTTAGCAATGCATGACTCCTGCTTTGTGCTTTTCTGAAAAGCAATGCTTATATTTCCACGACCGAGGCTGCCACTGCTAATGTAGTTGAGTGAACTTTTATTCTGGAAAGCCTTATCATCCTGAGCCAGTTTCCTCTCCTCCCTGACACATTCAGTGACGCGGCACTCCGGTGTTTGTTAGAGCAGATGTTTATGTTTCTGTGGTGATGATCGGTGATGACACAAGCACCGGAATGTGTATCATCAAATTTATTCAGACAGAGCTGCAAAGAAGAGTGAGAATTCCACTTCCATTTGAACTTCATGAAAACTAACTCAGCTTCCTCAACAATTACTTGTTGAGGTTTGGGCTGTTCAATCTGGATGTTAAAGAGCAAACACTCACACTTGCCTGTTTGTGATTCATTTTACTATTGGATTTTTTAATTTTTTTTTTGCAAGTGAGAGAGTTCACTGTATTTTTTAAAAGAGAAAGCTGCACTTAGGTGTCAATTAAAACCAGAACCATTGTAGAGATGCCTGCTGTTTGTGGTGACAAAGTTACAACATGTATTTGCCTGAGAATTCTTTCTATGGTGGCATAAATGTGGGACTGCATGACAAGAGTGAAGCAATACAAGGTAGAATGGCAAGTGGGTAAATGCTCTAATGTGCTCTTGTTCTGTTTTGGAGAATTAAAGGAAGCAGCAAGTCACCTCACAAAGAACTATATTGTCAAAGAACACTTAAAAAAGTTGAAAATGGATGTGAGGTTGTTACTAAGGGTATACAGGGAGGTTAGTGGGGGAAAAAACACCTGTGTTCTCAAAAACCAGGTTTCACACAATAACAGGCACTAAAACTAGTTGTGTGTGCTTGCAACAGGAGAGAATACTCTTAATAATGGCTGGTCTTTTTCATGATACGCAGGAAATCTTCCTCATTGACTTCCCCGTCTCCATCTCGATCAGCTTCATCAATCATTTCCTGCAGCTCCTCATCAGTGATGTTCTCACCCAACTCATTGGATACACGTTTGAGATTGTCGAACGATATGGTCCCAGTTTCATCATCATCATCGAAGAGCTTGAAAGCTTTCAGGATGTCTTCTTTGGAATCTTTTTCGCACATTTTTTGAGTCATCACAGTAAAGAAGTCATTGAAATTCATTTTTCCTGTACCTTCTGGATCAATTTCACTTATCATCTTCATAATCTCTTCTTTCTTTGGTTCAAAGCCCATTGCTCTCATCACCACCTTGAGCTCTCTAACATCAATGGTCCCAGTTGCATCAGTATCGAAGAGATCAAAAGCTTGGCGTAGCTCCTGTATCTGCTGTGGACTAAGCTCCAGCTTAGGAAGATGATGCCACGTTTGTCGTCTTAAAGCTGGAAGAAGCCTTCGGAGGTTCCGAGTCTTCTTTGGCCTGGAACAGGTTGCCCAGAGGGCCACGCATGCCCGGGGGGCGGCTGCGGGCCGGCTGTGTGTTAAGAGGAGGCAGCGAAAAGGCACAGGCCCTGCGAGGAGGCTGGCGTTTCTTCAGATCCATCTCCGACCTTACTATTGGATTTAATACGTTGGAACTGTTGACATAACATTCCCCTCACCCATCACCCCACACATAATGTCCATAAAATCATCTATCTCAGGCCTAACTCATAGTAGGTGCTCATATTATTGATTTATTTGCTGTGCACCTCTGGGAAAGTCTCAGTTTTTTACCATGGTGCCTATAGCAGATATGTGCAAGCATGATAAGGGCTCAATGAGTGTTTGTTGTCATTATTATTAGTACTACTACTATTACCCAGAGCTATGTAGTTAGGTAGACCATGGGTCCCGTCCCAGGTCTAAGACTGATTAGTTTTGTGGCTTTGGATAAGTTACCGAACCTTTCTAAAGCCCAGTGTTCTCATCCGTAAAATGGGGATAATAATTATTATAGGTCCTTAGATTTGTAAGGATTTGATAAGATTATATAAGTAAAATGATCACCATAGTGCTGGCCCATAGTAAATGCTCCATAAATGTTAGTTGATATTAGTACAAAAATAACAATAATAGCAATAATTATAATAATACATATTACTACCTGGCCTGATCACCATTAAGCCGGGCGGCAAAGTCTGAGCACCATTTCTCCTTTGTCACTAATGCTGTTGGTGGTGTCATATTCAAATAAGGATAACTTGGACCACCTTCTTAGCAGTGACCTGTGGCTCATGATCTCTGATACGCCTGACACTGAGAGCTTGCTGGCTACCAAGTTCCCAGTGTTGGGATTTCTGGCATTACTTGCTCTAAGGATTACTCAGGGGATACACTGAAAGTCAGTCTTCACTTAGGTCCTTGTTCATTATTTTGACTTCTTGCTGCATCCTTTCTATTATGAGGGAAGACAAAAGACATCTTCCCCACTCCTCAAAGAAAAAGGCCTTAACTGACCGGCGTGGCTCAGTGGTTGAACATTGACCTGTGAACCAAGAGGTCATGGTTTGATTCCTGGTCAGGGTACACGCCTAGGTTGCAGGCTTGCTCCCTAGTGTGGGGTGTGCTGCCAATCGATGATTCTCTCTCATCATTTATGTTTCTATCTCTCCTTCTGATCTGAAATAAAAATACATTTTTAAAAAAAGAAAGAAAAAGGCCTGATTTGATGCTTGAAAATCTGGGGCCTTTGTGCTCTACTTTGTGACACAATAGGCTATTCTTAACTTAATGTCCTGCTCTTACATCTTTCTTGCTTTCTCAAGTAGGAAAATCAAATAAGAGGTAATATTTCACCCTCGGCAATAAATATTATTATCGCCATTTTTTCTACATAACTTGGACCCTGCACCAAAATGCTCTTGCCAAAGGGGGCCTGGCTGGAGTTCTCACTGAAACTCTAAGTGTAAAGCTCTGGGTCCCTCATCCTCTGCCCGTGCGATCTGAAGGTGCGTTTCTGTCAGGAGGCTGGAGAGATTTTACAGACAACCTTCTTATGATCCTTGGAATCCCAGAGGTCCCTGCAAGCCTAAGCCAACCTGGATTGCACAGGCATCAGGGGTGGACCCCCAGTTCTCCAACATCCTGTGTAACCAAATGACCTTTTAGTTGTGCAGCCCCTGAAATTCATACTTGCTAGCCAATTTACCATGACAAGTGCAGAGAGTACTAAACGGCTTTTGACAGAAAGTAGCTATGTGAGCCTGAGCTGGTTGCATCCCCTCTCTGGGTCTCTAGGAGATCTATTGCATGACCCCCATACTTGAATGTGCTGTGACTCAGTCATTGACCATGGTGGGAGAGAGGAGAGAAATTTGGGAGGGTGCATTTCTCTTTGTTTGGTTTATTTCCACTCATCCCATTTTAATTTTGTCAGGGTCAGATAAGTAATTTATATTTCCTAGGTCAAATAACAGCAGACCTGAAAAAAAGTTAAGTCTTTACAAGTTCAAAAAAAAGTCAATAGGTAAACTCTTCCTAAGCTAATTATGGGAAAAAACAGTGAATTCATAAGCCAAAACCATCTAGAAAAAGAACCCTCAAATGTTTGACTTTCTTCCTATTTTGAACACATGCACTGTTGACGGAATGAGAAGTGATCAGGGGGACGGCTTCAAGACACATACAACAGAGCTCCCTGGTGAGCTTCCAGAGGCTGGCAGGGAAGGGCAAAG